TGCGATACTTTTTACTGTTTTGAAACACAAATATTTGTGTTCAGCGAAGTCTCCCGAGTACAACAGTACCCCTCATGTACAGGTTTTATGGTGTTTTCAAAAGTTACAGCGTCAAATATAAGGCTTGTGTTTCATTTTTTTCACATTAAAATTTGCCAGATTGGTTACGTTGCCTTTGAGACCTTATGGTAGCCCAAGAATGAAAATTACCCCTATGATGGCATACCATTTGCAATAGTAGACAACCCAAGGTATTGCAAACGGGGTATGTCCAGTCTTTTTAGTAGCCACTTAGTCACAAACACTGGCCAAAATTGGCGTTTTTTGCATTTTTCACACACAAACAAATACTAAAGCTAACTTTGGCCAGTGTTTGTGACCAAATGGCTACTAAAAAAGACTGGACATACCCCCATTTGCAATACCTTGGGTTGTCTACTATTGCAAATGGTATGCCATTATGGGTGTAAATTTCATTCCCGGGCTACTATACAGTCTCAAAGGCAACGTAACCAATCTGGCAAATTTCAATTTCAAATGTAACGTGCTATAATTGACCCTGTAACTTCCCAAAACGCCATAAAACCTGTACATAGGGGGTACTGTCTTACACGTGAGACTTTACTGAATATAAATATGTGTATTTTATTGCAGTAAAAGCAAACAGTATTATGACATTGACTGTTAAAATGTCATGTAGAACAAAAAAAATCCAAAAAAAACGTATTTTCTCCCATTTTTTTCATATTAAATTATGTTTCATAGCTAAATATTTGATATTAAATGAAAGCTCTGTTTCCCCTGAATAAAATGATATATAATAAGGGTGGGTGCATTTACTATGAAAGAGGTGTATTACGGTTGGACAGACATGTAGCGCAAATGCCAGGTTTTGTTTACATTTTGTTTTGTTCACAATGTGTACATTTGGCTCCGTCCTTAAGGGGTTAAGTAAACATTTAATTTGACAAAAAAAGATTCACAGTGCTGAGTACAAAATACAGAAATAAATGACATACAGATAACAAATTGCAAAACAGTACATAAAGTAAAATAGGAGAAAACACAAGAAATTCCTTACATATATTTACACCATTTAGAATTCTTGTGGGAGTCTTAGATGGTATAGGTCTCCTAGAAGTTGCTGACCAAATAAAAAATGAAAAACTCTCTGGATAGTCCAGCACCCTCATTAATATACCTAAACTAGTTGTTTCTCAGTGGGCAGACCCCTGGGGGGGATCAGATGGGGTTGGTCTGGCAGTTTAGTGCCCACTCTATGAAATTCCTTGTGTCCAGCTCTGGTGATGGCTATCTAGATCTTTTATGGTCTAGGTTTGGTGCCAGATCAAAGACCACAATAAATGTCATCCCAAGGTTTACAAAAAAAAAACCCCAACTCTTAACATATCTCAACACACATCAAACACCAACTCATGCTTTTTGGCATGACACTTCCCCCTTAAGATGGTGGACAGAAAAATTCAGCCACAGGCTGATTTATCTGTTTACCATTAACCCTCTACTTCCCCCTGCAGAGACAGACCATCTGCATTCCCATGCAAGCTGCCCTTTTTGTGCTGGGCAGTGAAGTTATACTGTTGGAGGATAAGGCTCCAACGGAGCAGTTTATCATTGTTACCTGACACCTACAGCAGGTTGTGATCAGTCTATACAACAGCTACACCCTCAACAAACATGCCTGATTTGCCTGTTTCAATTTCCCATCAATCTCTGGTAACATCCTTTAAACCACACCCACTGCGCTCATGTAGTAGTTGTAAGGGGAAGAAACCAATGGATTTCTGCAGCACTCCCCGATAAGCACACAAAAAAACAGACAGATAACACTCCCAGGATAGATGTGCTGTATCAACAGCCATCATCTCTTTCATTTTGGGGTTTGTCTGCTGGGCTGGTTGCCCTATCAGACTCTGAACCTTTGGTTCACAATCAGAAAGTTGCTTAGGTGTATGCATGAGTTGTGATAAACTGACAAGGTTCCTGGTTCCTCCAATAGTATGTTTCCCTGCAGCCATCCTTCCTGGACCCACTGACGGAGTCTGTCCGTGCCCCTCACTTTCACACATACAGAACTTTGGAAACTGGCTAAGTCTGGCGCAGAGTAAAGCTCACACACCCTCTGCCCTCCCTCGTAGCCTTGCTGTCCCTTCACATTTTCACCCAGTGCATCACATACATCCGCTTCAGGCACATTAATTCATTCAGCCCCCTCTCGCTGGAAGGCTTTTCCCATACATTTTCACAGGACACATTTGACCCCCTTTGATCAGATACAGAATTTTGCACTCCCTCACATAATTTCTTCTACAAGGCAGGCCATCCTCTCACAATCTCACAAAACCCCTCAGACTCTCCTGCTGCAGCCCTGGCGCACTGCTGACTTGTTACCACTGCGACTAGTGGTACACATCCCTGGCTCTCACCTACCTCCTCCCCCTTACTCTCTGACATCCCAGCCTCACAGTATTTTGATACAGGCACATCACTACTCACCCCTATCTCACATTTGGTAGACATCACTGGTTCAGTTACAGGTAGATATTTATCCACACCCTGCATTCCCTCCCAGCAATCACAGTTCACAATGTCTCCCAAAGTTTCACACAATACCTTAGGTGGAGCAGTCAGCCCCTCTGGCTCACAAACAGTGTCCTCTGGAGCATAGTGACAGAGCATCCTGCCCAAATCAATCCCCAAAAGAACATTAACAGGGATATCCTCCGAAATCCCCACTTCCCGCAATCCTTTTCCCGCACCCCCATCAAGGTACACACGTGCCAATGGCCAATGGCACAGCGGGGCATACACCCTCAATTCCTTTAATGGACATGGTTCTTCCAGGGATTATGTCCTCCATATTCACCACTTCAGGGCGCACCAGGGTGAATGAAGCGCCAGAATCTCTCAGTCCCATGGTCACTCGGTCACTCACAATTACACTCTGCAGGTTATCCTCTTGTTTCCCCACGGACCCACCCACATGCAAAACTGATGGTGCCCCTCCACAGGCTGGTGAGGATTTATTCCTAGTTGGGCAAGTCCTGCTCAGATGACCAATCTGGTTGCATCGAAAACAACGGCAGGCATCGGACTCACTTGACATAGCCCTGGCTACGCTGGCAGTCGGCGGTGAAGTTCTCACTGCAGATCTTACAGGTGGTGATTGAACGGTAACTTCTCTCCAGGTCGAAGCAGCAGCTGACACACGTTCACGCCTGGATGTGGGTGCATGGATGTCGGCATAGTCATCTGCCAGTTCTGCAGCAGCTCAAGCATTTTTTGGCTTTCTTTCCAAAATCCACTCTCGTACATTAGGGCTCCGGGTCTGCAAGAACTGCTCCAGGACCATTAAGTCATTAAGGGTTTCATAGGTAGTAGCTTGTACTCCTGTTACTCATTGCCGGAACGTGGTTTCTAATTGTGCAACATATAGAATGCAGCTGGATGATGGGCATTGCTGCATACTGCTAAACTTTTTCCTGTAAGACTCAGGAGTAAGGTTAAAAGTTTTTTTCAATGCAGATTTGATTGCCTCATAGTTGTTATCAGTCTCTGGGGGAAGGGACACAAACACATCCAAGGCTTTCCCTTTCAATTGTGGAGTTAAATATCTGCCCCACTGGTCTGAGGGTAGTTGATGCTGCCTGCATACTTTCTCAAAACTTTTTAAAAATACATCCAAATCCGTCCCTTCTTCGAGGGAAGGAAAATCATCCTTACGGAGCCTACGTGTGCTGGACATTGCTGTGAGGACTGAAGGGTAAATTGCAGTTTAGCAAGTTCCAGCTCATGTCTCCTTTGCACCTCCCTTTCGGCCAGCCTCTCTGCAGATTCCCTTTCTGCAGCCTGCTGTTGGATCATCACATGCAGGGCCTCCTGAGGATTTGTAGCCATCAGTTGCCGAAATAAATCAGTTGAGCAAATGTCCTTAATGGTTTGAGGGGTACAACCACCAGGTATTCCAGTGAGCAACACTCCTGCAGTAGTAGGGAGCTCAGTAACCCTTTCAGTGTCCGTCTCTGGCTGGAAAACATGGCTGTCAGCCTCCACAAGGTCAGCAATAAGTTGTGCCTTATTTTTGCCAAAAGTTGGTAAATCCTTTTCTTGGCACAACAATTCCAAGGCCTCTTTTGATTGTTTGCGATAGGCCTCCATATTCACAAATAGGATAGAGAAAGAAAAACAAAAGATGGGAGGGGAGAACGGTTTTGCACTTTGTATGTATTTTAAATCAGCACTGAGCTTGGTCTTTGGAAATTACACTAAAAACAAGTATGCAATTTCTTTTAGTGCTAAGACCCCCTTTACAGGTAAAATCTAGCAAGCACTAAAAATCTCTAAATATATCCCACCAGCTACCGCCAGTTTGTCACGAGCGTGGGCTATAGGTCCAGCCGAGACAGTGGGGAGAGTGTGGAAGTGACAGGGTTAATGACACCAGACCCCTGGTTACCTGTTGCTAGTCCCAGCAACCACTCAATTAACCCCTGTAATCCCTTCTACACTAACCTCCTAGTACACACTTTACTGCCACCACCAAGACTTTTAAACCCGCGTGTCTTAGGTTCCCCACACACAGGAGAATTATAGAATCACAGTTCTACTTTTACTAATCATACACATATAATTAACCCTTTTTGGTAACGTGTTTACCTGAGCTTTCCTCTGGAGAGTGAAGCTCATAGAGAACAGAAACACAAGCTGATTAAGTAAACATTTAATCTGACAAAAAAAGATTCACAGTGCTGAGTACAAAATACAGAAATAAATGACATTCAGATAACAAATTGCAAAACAGTACATAAAATAAAATAGGAGAAAACACAAGAAATTCCTTACATATATTTACCTCATATAGAATTCTTGTGGGAGTCTCCTAGAAGTTGCTGACCAAAGAAAAAATGAATAACTGACTGGATAGTCCAGCACCCTCATTAATATACCTAAACTAGTTGTTTCTCAGTGGGCAGACCCTTGGGGGGGATCAGAGGGGGTTGGTCTGGCAGTTTAGTGCCCACTCTATGCAATTCCTTGTGTCCAGCTCTGGTGATGGCTATCTAGATGTTTTATGGTCTAGGCCTGGTGCAAGATCAAAGACCACAATAAATGTCATCCCAAGGTTTACAAAAAACAACAACTCTTAACATATCTCAACACACATCAAACACCAACTCATGCTTTTTGGCATGACAGTGACTATTCTGAATCCTACACTGTGTTTAGGATTCGGTTGTGAAAGCCCTGATTTTACTCCGGACATAGAATGCATGTGGCCAATTGCTGCAGATTCGCTCGGCCATATTGTCTTTAATATAAGAATTGCCAATGTGTTATGAATTAAGTCATTTTCACAGGACTAGGTTCATCAGAACAAAAGTGTTAAGTGAATAACCCTTTTAGTATGTACCCCATAAATGCACAGACTATTTTAATAATTTATAGGGTGGTAGGTTGAATACAGGTTGGAGATTAAAATAACCACAAAAAAAATGATTAAAAAAAAGCCCTTTTAATGTGTTGAAATGTGTTAACGTTAAATTTTTATTTTATATTCTTTATTTTTGCTATGTATAGTATAACATATGACCTTAAAATGCCACAACATTGACAGTCTCAGTAATAACAAACGGTATAACAATGCAGTATGGCATGTAAAAGATGTAGCAAGGTTAAGTATCTCCGCATATAGGATGATGAGGAGCCCGATAGGGTAATTCCGATTACCCCTCACTTGGTGGAGGGGAGGGATGGGGAAGTATATTGGTGACTTGTAGTGATGTACCGAACGGTTCGCCGGCGAACGGTTCCTGGCGAACATAGCATGTTCGCGTTCGCCACGGCGTGCGAACATATGCTTGGCGGTCGACCCGCCCCTATTACGTCATCATTGAGTAAACTGACCCTGTACCTCTTTCCACAGTCAGCAGACACATTCCAGCCAATTAGCAGCACAGCCTCCCCAGCAGACCCTCCGCCTCCTGGAAGGCATCCATTTTAGATTCATTCTCAGGCTGCATGCTTAGTAAGAGGAGGGAAAGTGTAGCTGCTGTTCATAAGATAGGGAAAAGCATAGCTAGGTTAGGGATAAGGGTATGCTTTTTTTTTATTTATTTTTTCTATGTAATGTAAATGCACTTAGTTGTCTGCCACTGCTGCCAGCTTCTGTGTCAGGCTCACAGTGCCCATTTCCCCAGTCAGTGCCACCAATTACATCTAGTGTCACAATAGCTTGGATTTAAAA